CTTTAGTTTTGATGCAAAAACGCATGATCGCACCGGCTCGCCTGGTGCGTTCCAGCCTTTTTTTTTCAGTTAACAAAAAAGATAGAAACACTGGAATCTGTACTTATGAAAACCGAATTAGCCAAATCAAAGCTGGAAAATCTGTGCCGCGAAATGCAGAAAGCCCAGCGAAAAGCAAATGAGGAACACGGGGAGAAGTTGCGTGAACTGGAGAAGAATCGTAAAGACATGATCGAGCAGTTCAAGGAATCCGTAGCTGGAATTCAGGTGATTTTTATCGTATTACATTACAGTTTTTATGTTGGATTCCTTCAGTAAATCACTTCGAAATGCTTGTTTTTACGGGCTGTAAATCGAGGTCTGGTTAGCTGTTCAGCTGGCAACTTTTCCGTTTTCGTTGACCACTGGGGCATCCCCTGGCAGTCAGTTTGTTGACCATTTTGATATTCGTTCAGCCTCCTATAAATGAGCGCTAAAAATACCAAAATTATTGGTAATATTTTGATGTTGGAAAGGTAGTGCTGTTAAGAAATTAATAAAACTTGAAATATGTTGTAAAATATTTTATAATGGTAAAAAATGTTTCGGTCCATTAAGTTGTATACATTTCTTACCATTACCACGGTCGGACCTCGTCAGTACAAGTATAATAATGTTTGTGGGAAAATGCTTGTAGTCGTTCAGTTACTCTGTTGTTACTGTTTTAATGTTAAAAGAAAGATAGTGGTATTAAAAATTTAATAAAACTTAAAATATGTTAAAATATTGTTTTTGCCGTATTGGCTTTATGGATTCACATAATAGAAAAGTATTTTGAAATAGGAAGGAGAGTGGAAGAGAAAAGAAATATTAAATAATTTGCCTACGCACCGGCTGCCGGTGCAAAGATGCGTTTTTTGCATAATTCCCCGCAGTTTTTGTCACTACGGCACCGGTTTTTCCGGCAATTGCTTCTAGCTAAATAGATTAAGACTGGTCGCCAGGACTGTCAGGAAACACCCCCTTAAAATTTCAGCTTTCCAACATTTCTGGTTTCCGAATTATCAGCTTGTCCGTAAAAAAATTTGGCCGGCCTGTACGTGTGTACCACGCGGGTGAGGGGGCCCATTTTAGGAATTGGGGCCCGTACATGCATGTAGATTAAGTTCCCAAAGTTTCAGCTCTGTAGCTTTTATAGGGCTTGAGATGAAAAATCGATACAGGTGCACACACAGACAACCCCTCGTCAATATGCATTTTCTGCATTGCACAGATGCAAAAAACACGTGAAAATTAAGAAATTATTTTAATAAAATTATTATAATGGTAAGAAATGTTTTATTCATACAACCGATCATCATCTTTGCAGAAATCGATGGAATCGGGGCGTGAAACCTCGGAACGGTTGACAAATGATAATGCTGTGCTGTCTGAGAAGCTAAAAAATTTAGCAGGCGAATATGAGGCCAGGGTGGCTGAATTATCAAGACAATTCGCCGAGGTATGTTTTTGATAGAATTGTGCCCTTTGTTACCAGCCCTGTCTTCTCCATTAACTACGATTTTGTGCATTTCGCATCCATGGCGCTCAAAAAATTTGCAAGTCAACAGATCAGCTCAGCGTGTAGTTGGTTTTTTTTAACACATTCAGATATGTATTGACATAAAACTGGAAAATTTTGTGATAGAAATTATTGATTTTTGCTAAAAATTCGA